TGAACGAAAGAAAGAAAGACGAAAAGGTTTTAAATTGTAAAGAAAATTCTCCGTAAAGATAAAAAAAGAAAGAAACAATGAACGAAAGAAAGAAAGAAAGAAAAAAGGTAAAAATTGTAAAGAAAATTATTTGTGAAGATAAAAAGAAAGAAAGAAAGAACGAACGAAAGAAAGAAAGAAAGAAAGGAAAAAGCTTTAAATTGTAAAGAAAATTCTTTGTGAAGATAAAAAGAAAGAAAGGGAGAAGAAAGAAAGAATGAACGAAAGAAAGAAAGACAAAAAGGTTTTAAATTGTAAAGAAAATTCTCCGTGAAGATAAAAAAGAAAGAAAGAAATAATGAACTAACAAAAGAAAGTAAAACGAAATGATAAAAGCAGTAAATTGTAAATATTATCGAAACGCGTCTTTCATTATAGAAAATGAAGTGAAAAATGTATGTGTTTACGAATATTTGCAGTGTATGTTGTTATTTGCATTTACAGACCATGTGTAACCGAACATAATTTTTTCGACCTTTAATTATTTCCACTTCGTACAACAAGATTTTTTTTCATCTTTTCTCTCTCTCTCCCATTTGCTCATTACATTTGTTTTTTGTTTTTTTTCTTCTTTTTTTTTTTTTTTTTTTTTTTTACTTAACATTCACCCTTTGTAACAAATAACATCCACAACGCCACGCTTTTAATTTCTTTCCTTCACACTTTAAAAACTTTTTTTTTTATTCTTCCTCCTTTCACGATCTCTTTCTTTTCTTCAAAAGATCTTAATGATATTTTTGCTTTTCCAGTTTTTTTTTCACCATTATATAACAACATTTTCATCAGAATATTTTTGCCGGTGACTTTTTTTTTTTTCCTTTCTTACTTTCGCTAAAACCAATTTTCTTCGCAATTATTTTAAAACAATACACGACACTTTCTATTCGGAAGCGGTATTTATATTCAGGAAAAGTTTAATAGATTCAAATACATGTCAAATATATCAGGATATGACCTATGAATACTTTTACTTGGCATTTTCCTCGTTTGTTGCAAATCAAAGATTATATACTTTTCAGTTGAAACAAATGAATTTTTGGTCTTACAGTAGCAATATATATATATATATATATATATATATATATATATATATATATATATATATATATATATATATATATATATATATATATATATATATATATATGTGTGTGTGTGTGTATATATGTATCTTAAGCTAAAACCAGGAAAATAAACTAATCGAAATGAAGTAAATAATAAACAAATTAACCAACCCCTTCCGCCAAAATAAACGTTAGAATACACTACCCACAATGCATCACTGACTCGTATAGATAAATAGTCGAAAATAAACACAACGAATGTGACCTGACGATTGTCTTTAGCATAAAACAGCTTTTCGCCTCTGAGTGTTGACTTCAATGTTCACTTTTATATTTACATACACTCTATGTCTGATATCGATCACTTTATCACATAAATACAGCATACATTAAAACTATATTTCTTCATGTGTGCGTATATATATATATATATATATATATATATATATATATATATATATATATATATATATATATGTGTGTGTGTGTGTGTGTGTGTGTGTGTATTTAGGCAGCAATTCTTCTTTCATGCACAATTCATTGAATACGTCAGACAAGGTGGTTTGATTTAGGTTTTATACAATTTCTCATACGATCAATTTTTTTTTCTTTTCAGATGTTAAATTATATAAAAACTGCCCGAATAAGAAATAGTTTGTTGCATCTAAGTTTTATAAAATGTTTTCATTTTTCAAAAGACGATCAAAGATATTATGTCCATGTTCACATTTCTTATTTAACAGTTAAAATATTTCATCCTTGAAAATGGCTAAATGTATAGCCGAAAGCGCTAGAATAAACAAACAGTTTTTTTATATGATTTATCATCAGAAAAGAAATTTTTTTTAGATCGCATGAGAAATTGTATAAAAAACTAAATCAAAGCCCTTGTCTCTCATATTCAATGAAATATATATATATATATATATATATATATATATATATATATATATATATATATATATATGTGTGTGTGTGTGTGTGTGTGTGTGTGTGTGTGTGTGTGTGTGTGTACATTTAGGCACCATATCTTCATTCAAAAATGTTTCATTAAATACTATAGGTATATTGTACCTACTTAGTTTTATATTGATCCTTTCCGGTTGTCTAATCAGTTTCTTTATGTTAAGATGAACTTCATCAAAAAAGCGATATAGATTTTTTTTGGTTTTTTGGTTTTCTAATCCAAGTACTTTCGACCTTTTCTAAGATCATCTTCAGGGATAAATTACAAAGACAAACTTATTGAAAAACTGCGTCTACATTCCGTTGTGATGGTGATTTCTTTGTTATAGTAGTCTTAGTATTTCAAATTTATCCGTTGTAGTTACGGATTTTTTTTTTCCGATATAAGGAAGCTGCCGGAAATTGGTAGAAATGTAAAATGGCATATGTACTTTAATATGCTACGCTACCTTCCTTCATGAATTTCATCTTAACATCAAGAAACTAATTCAGTCAGTTATACGCCATGCGTGATGAACGCTTAGGCGATCATGTATCTTTCGATTCATGATTGAAGTGGCCGATTTTTTCCCGCAATAGGTTGTCATTTCTTTCTGCGGTAGACCAGTTGCCATCCAAGGCTCTAGAACCTGGTCTGTCCTGCTATTTACCCGTAGCTGGGGTGGGGAGAAGAGGAGGATTAATACCTTTCCCAAAGGTAATTATCCCGAAAGTGAATGTAATGGATTCGACTGGAATTTGAACTCGGCTCTCTGATTCCTCAATCCGAGCCGCTATTAGACAACTGAAAAGGATCAGTATAAAAATAAGTAAAGACAATATTCAATCACACATACACACACACACGCACACACACACACACATATATATATATATATATATATATATATATATATATATATATATATATGTATGTATACATCAGAAAAACCGACAACAAAACTACATATGCGCAACACAACTTACTTTAAACGTTTTAGCACTGAACTTCCGTTTGCAGCGAACAATTTTAACAGTGAACTAACTAAACGTAGCTACCAGTCTAGGACTGCACTTAAATTCGCAAAGTCGATGTATCAAAGAGGAAATATATATTGAAGAATTGAAACGTTCACACGCAATGAAAACTCAGAATGACATGCGAAAAATAAGAAAGAAGAAACTTTCAGCATAGAACTTACGGTTGCATCTATCAATTTTAACTGTAAAATGATGAGACCGATCTGCCAATCTAGTACTGAGCTTAAAATTGAGATATCAAAGAGGAAAGCTCATCAGAACAATTACCAATGATTAAATTCCGTAAATCGTCCTGTCTGAAATAATTGTTTGGTGTATCTCTTGAAGCAGTTGATGAACATTCTTTAGCAAATTGTGTTAGAAAAAATGTTCATTGTACCAACCATTTGATTGATGTGACTATTTATAAACATCAATAAATATCAATAAACATCAATAAACATCAATAAATATCAATAAACTGTTTAAACATACAAATGTAAAGAACATTTCGACATTTAAACGCCATTTCGATTTATTATTACTAAGTGTAGCTATATATTATGCTTTAATTTAGATAGCTATGTCATGTTATTATGCTTTAATTTAGATAGCTATGTCATGTTATTAGGCTTTAATTTAGATAGCTATGTCATGTTATTAGGCTTTAATTTAGATAGCTATGTCATGTCATTAGGCTTTAATTTAGATAGCTATGTCATGTTATTAGGCTTTAATTTAGATAGCTATATCATGTTATTAGGTTTTAATTTAGATTGCTATGTCATGTTATTAGGCTTTAATTTAGATAGCTATGTCATGTTATTAGGCTTTAATTTAGATAGCTATATCATGTTATTAGGTTTTAATTTAGATTGCTATGTCATGTTATTAGGCTTTAATTTAGATAGCTATGTCATGTCATTAGGCTTTAATTTAGATAGCTATGTCATGTTATTAGGCTTTAATTTAGATAGCTATGTCATGTTATTAGGCTTTAATTTAGATAGCTATGTCATGTTATTAGGCTTTAATTTAGATAGCTATGTCATGTTATTAGGCTTTAATTTAGATAGCTATGTCATGTTATTAGGCTTTAATTTAGATAGCTATGTCATGTTATTATGTTTTAATTTAGATTGCTATGTCATGTTATTAGGCTTTAATTTAGATAGCTATGTCATGTTATTAGGCTTTAATTTAGATAGCTATGTCATGTTATTATGCTTTAATTTAGATAGCTATGTCATGTTATTAGGCTTTAATTTAGATAGCTATGTCATGTTATTAGGTTTTAATTTAGATTGCCATGTCATGTTATTAGGCTTTAATTTAGATAGCTATGTCATGTTATTAGGCTTTAATTTAGATAGCTATATCATGTTATTAGGCTTTAATTTAGATAGCTATGTCATGTTATTAGACTTTAATTTAGATAGCTATGTCTTGTCATTATGCTTTAATTTAGATAGCTATGTCATGTTATTAGGCTTTAATTTAGATAGCTATGTCATGTTATTAGGCTTTAATTTAGATAGCTATGTCATGTTATTAGGCTTAAATTTAAATAGCTATGTCATGTTATTATGCCTTAATTTAGAGAGTTATGTCATGTTATGCTTTAATTTAGAAAGCTATGTTATGTCTTCTTAGATGTTTAGTTGTTATTGTTTAGCAGTATATCAACCTCTATGGGTTAGTTAATGGCGAAATCTAAATATTTTTTTACGCAGTTTTATTTTGGGATGAGAAGATAATAATAATTTTAGTGGTGTAAGCCTTACTAATTAACTTATGGCTGAGTGGGTGGATAAGAGTTGGATTCATACCTTTCTAAATTGTATTAGCGCGTAAGTGAATATACTGAACTCAAATAGAATTTGAACTCATTTGAACAATTTTGAGCCATTATCCACTATATCACCTCCCCATAGCACCTGGTATTCCCAAACTATCACCCACCTCGGTATTGACCAGACTCGACGTTGCTTAACTTCGGTGGTCGTACGGAAACCGTTGTTTTAATGTGAGGCAGCCTTAAGGCTAGTTATTCTCATCAGTGGATACTAAAGGTTCACTAGCCATTGTAAATGACTTGTAAAACTGGTGGTAGGCGATTCAAAGTTTAGTATCAAGGGGTGCTGAAAAAAATCTCTAACCGACCAACTTCCTAAAATATGATCAATTATTAGTTTAGTTTTTAAAATTCCTTCTTTTCCCGGTCCATGAATTTTGACAGCACCTCCTTTTAAATAAACAATAGTGATTAATGGACGCAGTTGAGTGTCGAACAAGTCAGTGAGAACTGTCTGTCATAGACCCACAAAACAATCATCTTATCAATTACCTTACAGATTTATTACATTGAGCACCGGAAGTCGCAAGCGCTAACTGTGAAAATGGCGTATCAAAATCTTTCTGGTACAGAAGTCCAACATGTCTTGAAAATCAACATTCAGAATCTTTTGCCATATTTTAGCCGTTTTCTGGTTTACCTTTCTAAATAAAGGATTGAAATTTTCGTAATGAGTAATGAAAAAAGAAGGATTGGAATATTTAACGCTCACAAGGCGTAGTGGATGCAAAAGAAACCGAGACAAGCAGTAAGAACCTATCAGATAAGATGAAGGAAACAAGCGATGGTACAGCTGACATAAGTACGAACAGCAATTATTGCCGTGCGAAAAAAAAAAGAGAGAAAGAGGATGCTGTGGAGACTCGTGATTTAATGGTTTTAGGAGAGAGTGAACAAATTGAAAACCATTGCTAAAATATCTGTTTCTCTCTCTTTTCTTGTTAGTCTGTTTTGTTACTCTTTCTTTTTGGTTTATTTGTTTTTTGTTTGTTTAATCATTTCCCTCCAAGCAAGGCGATAAAGCCACTAAGATGCAAGAGATTACTGATAATGAAAGAAACAGAGAGGAAAATAAAAGAACAGGTTTCAAGGAGACAGAAGATGACGACTGACATTGCATTTAAATTTTTGAAAATTGTGCTTGGTAGGAATGTAGGATGTTGGAAAGGAAATCCACAAGCAAGAGGTGCATGTGAAGAAACTATTAGCATAGAACTTACGGTTACAAGTAGAAATTTAAATATTTAATGCAAGTAATTAAAGTTAATGATATATTGCCTAAATATATTAGAAGTTATATCTCGTGAAATGAGAAAATGTAGAGACGTATTCTGAAAACAAGAATTATTTTAATTACAGGTAACTAAAAATCATATTTTAATATGCAAGTCATATTATGCACTGACTTCAGCTAAAACAATAATTAAATGATGCAGAATTTGTTCATTAGATTATAAAATGCCTATTTTCCTCTAGCTACGAAATATATGTCTGTCCGTGCAGAAGATGATTCAAACGGAAATTGAATATCTGTAGAAAATGATGACCTCAATCATTTATTATGAAAGCGCCAATCAAGTACTGAACTTCAATTCGAATAGGGAAGCTCATTTGATACATTATCATGAAAATATTTAAGAAAAGGCACAGGGGATCAACTTCATGGTGATAGGAAAGTGACTGAAGCCGAAGTGTCAGGTCAGGACTGATATCATTGGATTCTTTGTAAGCAGAGACGCCATGTATTCCATTTTCAGCTTCACCAAAGATCGATTACAAAAGAAAACACTAATCATCGACTTTTTGGTTAGGTGACCAGGTGTTTGGAAATAATTACTATTTTACATCCTTTAAGTGTAATTCTTAAAATAAATGATTAGAAAAATAAATATTTTTTGGTGATATGACCGTCATAAAGCAGTTGATGTGTCATAATATTATATATATATTTGCTGTCAATTGTGAGCAGAATAAAATATTTGACAAATGAAGATCTAACGTTTTACATAAATATTGTACTTCAAAAAAAAAAAATAAACGCAAACATTTTTGAGGCAACTTAGACATTATGTAGAATCAATGAACAAGAGAGTATTCCCAGGAAATTTCTTCCTTTTTCATTTTCTGCCATTAGTAAATTTATTCTTTTTTCTCTTTGATTATTTACCAAAATTCTTCCTTTACAAAACTTACAGATTTATATTTCATCTGGCTTTACTTCCACAAATTCTATTCTTTCGTTTTTTGCGTGTTTGTTTGCTTGTCTCTTTCGTTCTTGTTTGCTTTCTTTCTTTCTTTCTTTTTTCTTTCTTTCTTTCTTTCTTTCTTTCTTTCTTTCTTTCATTCGCTCGTCCTTTCTTTCTTTCTTTCTTTCATTCGCTCGTCCTTTCTTTTCCTTCCTCTCTTTGTCTTTTATTTAACTTTTCTCTCTATTTTACATTCTTCTTTCTTCATATCTTCCTTTTTCTCTTATCATCTGTTTTTTTTTTAATTTATATCCTGATAAATTATTCTCGTCTGTATTTTAATGACTGTTTTTACTCACTTTCAATTTTCCTTTCACTTCTTTTTCTCCTTCCTTTATAACGACTGTCCCTCTTTCTCCTTTCATTGTTTTTTTTCACTGACTTCATTCACTTCTTTCTTACTTTCTTTTGTATGTTTCTCCCTTTCTATCGTCTTTTCTTTCTTTTTTCCTTTTCTTTCTCTTTCTTTCTTTTTGTATTTATCTTCAAATAAGTATTCTACAATTACACTTACAGTTAATCAACATGAATGACGTCATTTCATCAAAGGACCCTTTTTTCTGGACTTGCAACACAGAATTAACGATATCAGCAAAAAAAAGCAAAAACAAAAAGAATTTCTGCAAAGATCCATTCTTTTCAATTAAACAAAGAGAAAAAGGAAAATAACCTGGAACAAGTTGCAGTATTCTTGGATTGAAATCACAGCAACTTGCACTCCTTAGGGTACAAGTTAACAAAGATTGGGACGGGGTATGAGGGCCACTCACTAATTTAAATTGTTTATTTATTTGAATTTAGCTAATTCTGACAAAATGCCGGAACACATATTTCAAAAGATAGAAAGAAAATTAAATTTTCCTAAGAACTAAAAACTTCCGAACAAAGAAGAAAAAAAAATTGATTTCTTAAATTAAGGTCAGTTAAATCTTACATATTAAAATAACTGGACATTTTCCAACATCATTTTTTTTTAATCATAAGCTGAAACCAATGTCAAATAGTAACACTTATACACATAATGCAGTTTCATTGAACTAAACTAATCCATCAGAAACCAAACTCATTCTCCACTAACCAAACTTATACATCTCTAACCAAATTCATTTATTCCTAACCAAATTTATTAATCTCTAACTAAACTCGATAATATCTAACTCAACTTATTCTTACACTAACCAAACACATTCTTACGCTAAAGAAACTCATTCTTAAACGAAACAAACTCATTCTTCCACTAACCAAACTCATTCTTGTCCTAAACAAACTCATTCTTACACTGACCAAACTCATTCTTACATTAACCAAACTCATTCTTAAACTAACCAAACTCATTCTTACATTAACCAAACTCATTCTTCCACTAACCAAACTCATTCTTAAACTAAACAAACTCATTCTTAAACTAAACAAACTCATACTTCCACTGATCAAACTCATTCTTACTCTAACCAAAATCATTATTACGTGAATCAAAATTATCTGTAACCAAACTCGTTCATATCTAACCAAAAATATTCATCACTAACCAAACTCATTCTGAAATAACCAGACTCATTCATCTCTAACCGATTTTATTAATCTCTAACCAAAGGTCGTCATTAACCAAAGACATTCTACACTAACCAAACTTATTCCTCTATAACGAACTTCATTCATCACCAGTCAAAGTCATAATCCACTAACAAAACTCATCCAAAACTTGACAATTTGAAAAATGCCAAATCCTTCAGTTCTCTTCTTCAGACAAAAACACCAAGAGCAGAAATTTATAGAATTCACTTGAATCTACGTCCAATTCCAGGATTCTTTTCACCATGTAGCACTTACATTTGCTTTTAAATGGTTAGTTAGAGACTATGGAGGGGTGACTTCAGTTTACCAAAATGGATCAACCGATAATTTCTACAACTATAAAACAATAGAATAATATTGTTTAGAATTTTCTTTTCTTTGGAACTGACTTGTCTCCGTCATGTTTTATTAAGAATTTGTATTTTTCGATATGCATCGAATGTTAGGGGTAGGAAACTGAATATAATTTTTTCATTTAAATTCAAGTTTCTGGTTATGTCATATAGGAGATAAATAAATCTTAAGCTTAGTTGAGGAGAGTTAGCATTAGGAGAGTTAGCATTAGGTCAATTGCTAATCGTATCTTCGTGTAGTAAAGCTTCTATTTCATTACTTACCTATGAGTTTGTCTTCCTTATTTTTTTTTTCCTCACAAGGTACAACAGCTTATCCAGTTTTGGGCTTTTCGATAAGAATGGGGAAGAGAGATTATCCTCTTTCACTATGAACTCGAGAATGTCAAGGTAAGATCTTGAATTTAGAAAAAAATAATAATATTGTTTAGAACTGGAACTGTTAAATTATTATTATTATTTTCTGCGACCACATCACAGCTTGCATATGGCCGACCTAAGTCTCCAGACTGCAACCCCCTTTGCGTGTGGGGCGCAGTTGAGTGAGAGACCAAGAAAACTCCTTTAGCACCAAAGTTGAACTGAAGGTAAGGATTATGGCAGCATTTACCAAATAAAACAAGGATACCATCCAAAAGAGTTGCAGAAGATTATGACATCGTCTAGAGACCGTGGTTGAAGCCAAATGTTCATTTTATTTTAATATATTTACTCTTTAGTATTTCAAGATATTTTGTGCAATTTTGGTAAATATATCTCTTATAATGAAGTGTTATTCTTTTATGTAATTTAGACAATTTATCCATCGCACTTTGTATGTATGTATATATATATATATATATATATATATATATATATATATATATATATATATATATATATATGTGTTTGTGTGTGTATGTATGTATGTTAAAAAGAAGAGAGAAACCACAAACGATTTTGGTTGTAATGTGGATTTTTAAAAAGAAATATATTATTATGCATTATAATTTTGCTAC